TATATAATATACCGCATATATTACTCAGACAGTCAAGCGCTAATCCACAACATTTAAATTAAGTAGCGGGCTGTTTCGACTCTTCCAACCTGTACCGGGCTGAGAGGGATACAACATTCTAGCAGACAAACGGTGATACTCAATAAAAATCCTCCCCTCTGGGGAATCAAACTAGCTTCTCATGAGGGCGGCAGTGAAGCATGTAACCACCCCACCACAGACGCTGGTATGAAGAGTCTGCTTAGAGGGGTTATTGTAAAGTCGCGTAATGCTTTAGATAGAAACAATTCTTATAAAATTTCAATTTTAAAAGTTGTGTACCCCATTGACACAATTTAAGTCGTTTAAGAAGTTGGGTTTTTTTTCTACTCTGTCTACTAAAGCCAACCTGGATTGAGAGGGATACAACATCTTAACAGACAAACGAAGGTACTAGTTGGGGAAAAAATCCTGAAACGGGAATCGAACTCGTGTCTTCTGGGTGTGTAAAGGCGACCGCATAAAGAAGGTCGTTCGCTTAGGCAGAACGCCCACTGTAATTTTTTGCCTGTTCCAGGCAATGCGTTTTCGTGACGTCATCGCCCGAATGACAGGCACAAAAAATTATGCACGCCCATTTGCCGCTTGCCGAAGACACGCAAATTCTCGAGACTGGTTTCACGCTATACAGAGCTGACCTAGATCTAGATAGGTCCAAATCTAGGCCATGGAGCCTTAACATGGAAATTATTGCCTCAATTGCTTTTAAGAACGGCTCAAATGTATGGAATCGAATGAAAAACAATTATTTATAGCAAATTTTATATAAAATTAGGACTTACGGTTCAAAATATTCCGTTTTCTTGGGTGAATCGAGGAGCGGCTGCAGATTCAACGCAAGGCAAAAGGTCCTGCATGTACGAAAACCGTGTTGCACTATAAACTTACCGTGATGCAAGCAAAATATCTAATTTACATACAATGCTTTGCCTGGAGTCGGCAAAAAATAACAAGTGGGTGCAAGGCCTTACGCCCCCGTAAGCGCACCGCCCAAGGCAGTGACGTTAACAGAATCCCCTTATGAAACCCGTGGCGTCCCACATAGATAAAGCTGTCCTTGAGGACTCGTCAATGAGGAACGGCACTGGCGTTTCTCGCGGAATCCAAACTACAAACCGTCCAAAGCAGTGCTTCTACTTACGTCTACAGTTCGATGTAGCTAAGGATCCAAACAATGACACAGATGCGCTCATAATAGCATCACTGTACGTCAGAACTTCCATTAGGGACAAACGTAACAAAGTCCACAATGTAACATGAATTTTTACTGGTTATATACGATTACAGTGTTACTGAAGGCTGTACATACACTTAACAGTAAATGACATATGATATTAATGATGATGATTAATGTCATGATGATGATGATTATAAAACCGCCTCCCCCTCTCTCTTTCTCTCTTTCTCTCTCTCTCAGTCTCTCTCGCTCTCTCTCTCTCTCTCTTTCATTCTTTTTCTCTCTCTTTCTGTCCGTCTGTCTGTCTGTCTGTCTGTCTGTCTGTCTGTCTGTCTGTCTGTCTGTCTGTC